AATTTATACACAGTGTTTAAGGTCATGAGACGAAGAAGCCTATTGATTTTCAGCGATTTCCGATAATTACTGCCAGAGTTATGGCCCTTGATCACTTTGAAAAATCTTGTGGACGCTCTAGAGGCTAAAGTTGATATCCGATTGAGTTTAAATTTATACACAGTGTTAAAGGTCATGAGACGAAGATTTTCGATAATTACTGCCAGAGTTATGGCCCTTGATCACTTCAAAAAATCTTGTAAATGCTCTAGAGGCTAAAGTTAATATTGATTTTCAACGATTTCCGATAATTACTGCCAAAGTTATGGCCCTTGATCACTTTTAAAAACATTGTGACTCTCTAGAAGCTAAAGTTATCATCCGATTGACTTCAGATTCATACACAGAGTTTAAGGTCTTGAGACAAACAAGTACTGTATATTGATTTGCAATGAATTTTTATGACTTGAACAGCTAAATCCATGATGTTAAAAGTTTCCTATACTAAACGTTAGCATGGGGCAAAACTTTATAAAAACCAAACCAATTCTAATGGTTTTCTGATAATTACTTAATGAGTTGTTACTCTTAATCAGATTTTAATGTATTATAAATGTTTCATTACCGAAAAAGTAAAAATATGTGACAATTCTTGTTGACTGCTCAGACGATTTAGCTGCTGTGGGCGTATGTTTCGTTGCCTGGCAACCTATCTTTTCCATACATGTAGAGATTTTTTTTAGCAGCGGGAGGAATCCGGAGAACCAGGAGAAAACCCCCACAAGGTTGGACAGGTGACCGTACTGCTTATCACATGCATGGAATCGAAACCATGCCACTTGACTCAATGAGAGACCTTACGATTTAAAACGCACATGTCAAACCATTCGGCCTCCCAACGCTCGACCTTGTGTTAATACATCATTACATGTATGTTCAATTACTAAATGACTTTTAGATTTTGATGAACTGATCATTAAGAAAATTAGTATTTTATGACCTTAATTAAGTGATCAGTTTAGTACAACCGACAACCCAGATATTAATTAGGTTATTTATATCTGGCATGTAATAGAAGTTCCTCTTGCATAATATTAATATCTGATACATGTTCCTCTGACATGTATGTGATAATTTATTTTAGGGGGTTGAGGAGAATAGAACACAATTTTTCACCTACTTAAAAGCGGATATGCATAATATGCATATCTGATACATGTTCCTCTGACATGTGATAATTTATTTTAGGGGGTCGAGGAGAATAGAACACAGACTTTCACCTACTTAAAAGCAGATAAATTAAATATAATCTCACCATCTTCATCAAGTCAAAATAAAGTATTGAATTCGGTTGATCTGATGATACTAGTTATCCTTCTCCGAATGAAGTTAAAGCGATAGTTGCATATTTTCGAAGTCCAATCATAAATAATTATTTCTATATCTGTTGCTTAAAGGTTTGTCCAGTCACTTTTAAGCAATCATAGGCACTTAAAAAAACATTCACAGAAAATTTGAAATATTTTCTACTTACCTCTGGTACTTGGAAATGGTACTGGAAAACTTAGTCTACATAATGGCAGTGGGGAAATCTGCAGGAGTTGTCTCAATTGTTAAAGTCTGTGGATAATAATGTCTGGTTGACCGAGACGACCCACACACATCATGTTGTTCTAATAATAAAACCATGGAATTGGCAAAGCTCAACATTGATGTTTCAATTTGAAAATGATATATTTGCCAATTTCTCAACTGACAATAGTGAATTATAGGATTACAGTAATAGAATTATTCTTTAATAGTGTAGGACTGTGTATATATGTCATGTATTTTCAGGGCTTTTTTATAAACATCACTTTAAGGGAAAGATGTTGAAATGAACTCTTGTCACTACATTGTTTCTGTTATTCTATCCTGGTTGTTACTAGGAAACATATTGACTTTATATTTGGTATACAGAGCTAATAAATATTGATAACAGCTATTGGATTAAAGATGTATTATGTTAGCGCTAAATTATCTATGTACGTATTGCAGATCTTTCTATTGGCCTCAAATGTTACATAAATTATTAATTAGACATTTATTCACAACATAATCAACTAGCTAGAGCGTCGGATTGATTGTTGTGATTTTGAACAGATTGAAAAATGAGTGCCATTTAATAATATGATTTCAAATAGACAATCGAGAATTTATTTAGTATCATAACAAGTGTAGTAATGAATATTGAGATTATGCTATTCTTCAAACAGTCATACATGTACATTACCTATTTTTAAACTATTATAGCATGAAACTGTGAACTGGCAGCTCTTCACATAAATCTTACAAAATGCATCTTTAAATTTTGTTTCAAAATATTGAACGGAACTCTTTTTGGACAATATGTTTTAGAATGTTGTGTTTATAGTTTCAATATAGTTTTAAATGATGATTCCCAGCGGCTTTAAATAATGCATATGATATTTTTCAGTCGTATTGTCAGTTTAATCTAAGATTCATAAAATCATTAAATGAATTAATTTTAGTTATGATTTCACTTGTGGCTGTTTTATATACATAATACATGTGTCATGGATGATCTGTTAATTTTCCATACAGCAAGATAACAGATTGATACGCCTATAGAAATTATTTAATTAAATGGAAATTTAATTTGTCACTAAACTAGGCCTGAAGTACAGCTATGTATAATAATAGATTGATATGGAAATTATTTAATTAAATATAAATTTGATTTGACACTAAACCTGTCATGAAGTATAGATGTATAATAAGAATAGTAATATAGGGTTTATTAAAGTTATGGCAGTTTTATTGTGATTGATACAGATACAAATATTATGGTGTAATGCACTTGATACCTGTTGTCACTGGTTTCATGCTATTAATAGAAACAGTTTATATATTCAACAGAAGATAGATATTGATGGCAGCTACTTGGATCAACCTTTAAAATAGTCCTAGGTACTTCTGTTGAAGGGGCTAAACCTCTAACTCAGTATTTTCCATGATATTCGAAATAAAAAACACAAATTAGAATTCAGTATTGGTCCATTTCAATCCATATTGATGTTGTTATTTTGCCGTGAAAATATAGGATCCTAATATCCAATATTTAAGCGCGGTGTGATCATTATTTGATCAGTACACTAGTTGTGTATTCTATGGTTTCAGGTGCCATTTGTAATGAACAAAGAAAAACATATCCTACACTACACGACAATATGGAAGTAATTAATGGCGGATTCACAAACAATAATATAATAATAAAAACGCATAAAACAGCTGCCGTTCAATTCAGGCTGTTCATGAATTTCACTGAACATAAATATTCTCTTTAAATGGCATTTAGTAATTGGAACATAATCAAATAACACACTATTTATGGATAACAATTACTGTGGTTTATTTCACTGCGACGTTTCAACAAGATTTCACAAGTCGTTATCAAGCATTGACTGAACATAAATATTGATTAAAAATTGCAATAAATTTTTAAAAAATTCAATATAAATCACTTTATATACATTCATATTAAATTGATACACATGTGTACTTTTAGACCCATTTTCATCTATTTTACGGTTCAAAAGAATAAAGCCATATGCCCTTTAAAGTGCTACCCTTGATTAAAGTCACAGATCGTCATTCGGACATTTTAATTTGCATTATAATTTACTTATTGAAAATTAAACATTTAATTAAAAACAAAAAGCACCATGTTGCATTTCTCAAAAAACTTTTATTTTAAACATAAAGAACTGAATATAAATTGGTTTAGCCTTAAGAGCTGGTTCATGCTGGCTAAATCTATTTGTTAAGGCCAGCTCAATTTTTATCAAAGCAGCTGAGATGTACAAAGTGTAAATGAGGTTAGGGTACGTGATTGTTGGCAAGATTGTAGGTGTTAGGGTTAGGGTAAGCATTAGGGCTAGGTCCAGGGTTAGGGTTGGGATAAGCGCTAGCCCTGTTTACATGTACATCTCGTGACCTTTAACCAAACTCGAAGTTGGCCTTATCAAATAGATCTAATCAGTTCATGCCAAAACTGCTGGCATCACCTAGATCTGTTTCTCTATCTTCACAAATATATAGCACTTTGTATTAATGATTACAATTAGTAATTGTTGATTTGATACTGCTGGTTTTTATTTTCACAAAATGATTTAATCAGAATAAATGGTAGCTATGGTTACATCTGTCTGCTTTTATCTTGATTTGATTAACTATAAAATGTTGAGCTTCTTTTCTTATTGATTTTAATTTAGTATAACTAGAAGATCAAGCATAGTTTTAATAAGCGCTTTTGGATTATCTGTTTATATTTTAATTTCGCTAAGATATTTTACTTAAATATGGTCGGATATTTTAATTTCGCCAAGATATTTTACTTATAATATGATCGAATATTCTTTTAGAAGTCTGGTAGTAGTCCAGAGAAGGTTTGTAAATTTGTCGAGACAACATGAATTTTGTCATGCTATAAATAATTTGAATTTTGTGTAATAGCTATACATTAATAATTGTGACATGGACATCCTTGATTTCCTGCATCAGTAATTAATTATACAGTAACTCTACAGAAGCTCACCTAAACATCAAGTCGATTACAAAAGCAATGATTTACAGCTTCTAGTGAAAATTTAATGCAATGATGACTTGTTCCGGACTGTCACTGGCAGGGTGAATGATTTGGTTTGTTATCCTGTGGCGAATGATGTGACGGCAGGGATCTTTCTTCACGGTTTGGTTTCTGGAAAAGGTCATAAAAAAAACGTTCAAGATATCTTTCTCAAAATTTGTACACATAGCAGCCAATTGTTTTAGTTGACAGTTGTGCCTTTTACTGAGTAGAAACAATTTTTTTGCATCCATAGAAACAAATTTGACGTAGGTTTTGATATACATGTACATGGGACAACGATTGACTACTAGGTCTTTGTGTTGACTTTGACCATGATATTAAATTTATCAAATATAATAATGTATTATTAAAACATTCTGTTCTGTTTCAGGATCCCATTGATTGAAAATAGATTAAAGACAACTGTTTATTTATAAGACTATTTAGTTTAATTATCCAAGTGATACTAATAAACATTTAAAATGGATAACTGTGGTCCTATAACGGCGTTTATTGAAACAACAGACTCGACTTCGGCACCAATCAGTACACAGCCCTCAACATCGAAACAAACTAGTGCTAACTCACATGTGACTTTAAATGGCGCCACTAATATGAATACAGACTTAATAGAAAGTGATTATTCCGATGCAGAAGAAGATTTTGATATTGGTAGTCCTAAAAAAATGCATGTCGGTGTCCGTCGATCAGAAGTTGGTCATCTTCTCAGATCAGAACAGGTAGGTTTCTATAGTGTAATGTGTAATTAAAGCTGATCATCGTCACTTTCATTATTCCGACACTATCTCATTTTTCACAGTTTAATTCAAGCTGATGATCGTTATTCGGACAATATAACTTTATTGATTCAAGCTGATGATCGTTATTCGGACAATATAACTTTATTGATTCAAGCTAAATGTACGGCCTACTCTTAAATGTATATCGAATTCCAACTTCCAAGGGATCTTTTACGTAATACGAATGTGTCAACATGACCTCGGTTTTTCGTCCATCCCAACGACTAGACAGCTGTCTTTGTTAGACCCTCCGTTCTGCACCACTAACAAGAGATATATTATATTCCAAATGTTCAATAAAATACTATTTACTAAACAGAATTGAACTATTTTTGGATGGATATTCCCTTTACTAGACATCCCTCTTTCACACTAGGGTAGTTTGCAATGGATTAAAAATCCATCAAATTACGATAAGTGGCTTTAAACGTAGTTGTGATAATAATAGGACATGTTTCCCAATAGAAATATTTAGCTCTGTGTAAATGAGCCTTAGATACCATAGTCAATTTTCGCTCTGTCAGATCTGATATATCTTTGACATTAATTATGTCACTTGTGTTTTGTCTCGATGCTATTTTCCTAGAAATATATTATATTGTGTTGATATTTTAAAAATGGGGATGTGTGATTTATGTATATGCCTATTAATGTTGTGAGAAATAAAAGTGCAAACATTAGATTTAGAATGTAAACCAAAACATTCAATATCACATTTGTATATATATTCCATAACCTTCTTTAATTGTATGAAACTGTATTCTAAAAAGGGGATCACGTGTCTAAGTGGGTAAGACGCTGGGTCGCTAGCCTGGAAGTTGGGTGTTCGATCCCTGCATTGGCCGAGAAAGTTCATCCAGATTTTCTGGAGTGGTTCCCCCTTGTCAGTGATGCAGTACGGGGGGCCTGACAAGGACAGCTGTCTAGTCCTTCGGATGAGATGAAAAACCGAGGTCTCGTGTATATTTTGGAATGCACGTAAAAGATCCCCTGGCAGTTGGAATTCGATATAAGAGTAGGCGATAGTGCCGCTGCCCGGGCAAAATTTCCCTCATAGCACACTGTATGGCGTATGCTCGTCTTCATTAGCCCAGTATAGGAGCAGAACAGTAGGACGTTAAACCCCATTTCATTTCATTTCATTTTATTTGTATTCTAAAAATAATATTTCTAAATATTTTCAGGGTCGACCCCATGACAGCGACACAGAAGAGGAGTTTCACGATCCGTCGATGGAAATTTTAAGCTTGCCAAGTAAATGTGCTGAACAAGCCGAAGAGTTTGTGCGTAAAGTTTGGGAAGCTGGATGGCGTGTTGTTCATCATCATTCGTTACCAAGCTGGCTCAAAGATAATGACTTTTTGCTCAGGGGTCATAGACCTCCCACATACTCGTTTGTTGCTTGTTTTAAATCTATATTTTCAATCCATACAGAAACAGGCAATATATGGACACATCTTTTAGGTTCGTAGACACAGTTTATATAAATGGTATTATTGTTAAACATACATTATGCAAGACCTAAATCTGCCTATTGCAGGTCTTTCTTTAGGCCTGAAATGTTTTCTAAAGTATTAATTAGACATTAATTAACTGATCCAGGCCTTAATTAACACTCGATGGCATCAGATTTCTCCGATATTAAATAGATTAGAATGGTTCAGCGATACTTTGATTTAATCAAATATGGAGGACCGAGAAATAGCTTTGATCAACCAGTACAGTGGTTGAAATTATTGCACACGTCTGTCAAACCTTCAAAGGCTAATATCTTCACTTGCAATAGAGTACCGGTAATTTGAATGAAATTTTCAAATTATTCATTTTACATCCTCTACTTTCGAACTATTATAGCAAGAATGGCTAGTTCTTTATCTAAATCTTACATAATGTATCTTTAAGTAAATTTTCAATCTCTTAAAGTGTCAAAAGCCCACAGACAGGTCTGGAAGAATGATTTTAGTTTTGCTTTACAAATGACAGGCGCTAACGAACTAGTCCCAGATATTTTGTATTATGAATAATAAAAACACTGATACAGTGGAATCTGTCATTGTATAGGATCATTAAACTATACCGGATAACACAGCATGACGGAATACTCAATACCGGAAGTATTATTGTACCCTTGAATACTGAAAGTATTATTATAATACATCTTCGGAAATATAACAATACATATGTACATAACAATTTACTTTAAATACATGTAATCATTTAATGTTGAACTCGATTTTTTAACGAGTAAATGGTGTCGAACTAGCCCAACGTCTTTAATTTGTGAGAATGTTTTGAGGGGTTGTGCATGTCAAAACCAGTTTTTTTCCTGGGTTTTTTGATTCCAATTTTGCTCTATTAGAATCATGGTAACTTTTATAAGGATTGCTTAGTACCATTTTTGGCTTTTGTCAAACTTTAGTTTGGTGTTTTGGGAAGAGGAGATTTTAGATTGTTGTCAATAATGGCTGCCCATTCAGGCAGTGAGAAATGGTTTGACAGAATTATAAATTTTGTTCTGAACAAATTTAGTTTAATTTCTAAAATCTTAAAAAAGTCAGTTGATCATTAAAATAGAATCAGTCTTAGTAATTATAAACAGATTTTTTTTGATTAATAACAAAATATATGTACATTGTTTCAGGTATGATAGCCTTTATAGGTGTAGCAACCTATTTCCTAACTAGACCATCTTTAGAGATACAATGGCAGGAAAAAGCAGTGTTTTCAGCATTTTTTGCTGGAGCTATTTTATGTATGACCTTTTCTTGGATTTTCCACACAGTATTTTGTCATTCAGAAAAAGTTGGCAAACTCTTTAATAAGTAAGTTTTATTTTCTTTTACATCAGTCCCAGGCAAAGTTAAACATTTAGCACTTGAACTGCCTGATACTACTGCAACATTAAACTACCTAACATATGTGAATATTTGTGAACTATTTAAGTACTGTATGCTAGTTCTGTGAATTGGTCCATTTGAGGCTGCCTATCAAGCTGTAGTTGTGCAAGAAGATCACTTTTCTCTTAAAGATACATTATGGGAGATTCGATAACGAGTTGGCAGTTCTCACTATAATAGTTAAAAACTAGATAACGTAAAGGCAATTTGCTGAAAATTTCTTTCAGATTGATCCATTATGAACCGAAAACTAAGCGAATGAAATTTCTGCCTAGCCTCGGTCATCATTACTAAAGTCAGTACAACAAACAGCATAGTCTCGATTATCTATTTTAATCGTTTAATCGAGAAGGAAAGTTATGCAGTAAATCGACTCCCATCCACTTAAGATCGCAGGCTAGCGAGGCCATCTAGAGTTGATTATGGTCTGGTTAAGTTAATTAATGTCTAATTAATAATTTAGATAATATTTCAGGCCTAAAGAAAGACCTGCAATAGACAGATTTAGCTCTTGCATAATGTATGTTTAAGTTTTTGCTAGGAACCTTTGTAATTAACATTTTGATATACCCAGGTGCTAATTGGTTAATAGAGAGGTTTACTGTTCTGATGCAATCGGAAATTTGTGCTTATAAAAAATCAAGCAATTGGATAGAGCAAAAGCATAAGTGTGGCAGAAGTTTATATTTATATTTAGTCTGTCTGTTGCAGTTGTTATAAGCTAATCTTGGTGGGAGGCGGGGCTGGCCGATTGATTTAACATGTACTTTAGATCATAAGGTCTGTCATTGAGACAGGTGGCATGGTTTCGATTCCCCGCTTGTACGTTACAAGGAGTCGGGTCACCTGTCCAATTTCGTGGGTTTTCTCCAGGTTTTCCAGTTTTCTCCCACTGCTAAAGGATCCTTACCTGCATGCGAATTAATGAAATAAAATTGAGCCATATGCTGGTTCCAAAAAATTATCTAGTTTGTGTTGAGTGGATGTTAAATATCTCTCTCTATCTCTCTCTCTCTCTCTCTCTCTCTCTCTCTTAGTGGTCTTGATAAATGTGATGTATGTGGAGACAATTTATTTTATGATTATGGTGTGTGGTTTTTTTTTTTCAGATTGGATTATTGTGGTATAGCTTTATTAACAATGGGATCATTTGTACCATGGTTATATTATAGTTTTTATTGTCGACTGGGACCTAAAGTTGTCTATCTTGTTCTTATATTCGTACTGGGAACAGCATGTATTATTGTTTCTATGTGGGATAAATTCTCAGAACCAGAATTCAGAGCTGTTAGAGCAGGTAGGTCCATTATCTTATATCTATTCGTGGAAAGATTGTTGAACAGCATGAATTAAGACCATAATTGCTGATTGAAATGGCTATTTTCTTTGAGCATGATTAAAGTAGGGTTGAAAAGTGCTTCAAATCTGACAATGAAAATTTTCAGACACTGTTGCTTTTGTGTTCATATAAGGAGTCACAGTGATTCATTGAGTTGGTCATTGACTCGCTAACCTGGAGGATCCGGGTTCGATCCCTGTGTTGGCTGAGAAAGTTCATCAGGATTTTCCGGCATGGTTCCCCTTTGCCAATTTTGCCCTGACAGTGGCATTTACACCTACTCTTGATTGGACTTGGACTGTCATGGGTGGTCTTCAGGTTGTTTTTTTTGTCCCCATCCAAATGACGAGATGGTTTTACTTGCTAGGCCTTCTGACCAGCACTACTGACATGGGGAATCCAGGCTGGGAGAAAAATCGTGAGGAACTCTATCTGCCAACACTGGGATAAAACTTGGTCAGCATTTATTTCATTAATAAAGGTTTACCGTCTTCATTAGCCCTGTCAGGAGTAGAACAGTAGGACGTTAAACGATTTAACGTCCTACTGTACTTCTCCTGACAGGGCTTAAACCCCATTTCATTTCATTAAATAAAGGTTTAGTATCTAAAAAGAGATAAGACTGCAGCGAAAGTTAAAGAGACTAATTGTATATTTGTTGTTTATTTACAGGGGTATTTATAGCTCTAGGATTAAGTGGTGTTATACCAGCTATGCATTATGTGATAACAGATGGTTTCTTCCATGCCATAGATGATGCAGCTCTAGGCTGGTTGGTTTTAATGGCGGTCTTATACATCACTGGAGCTCTTATTTACGCTTTCCGCATTCCTGAAAGATTATTCCCCGGAAAGTTTGATATTTGGGTAAGAAATGTTACCAAATTATTGTACAAATGTAATTAATGATTATATTTTGTTTGTTTCAAAATACTGGAAACCCTGATAAATTAATATACAAGCTCTGGCTTATTCAGAGAAATTCAGGTTGCTTTAGTATTTGCTGAACTCCGTGAAAACAACATGTATATCTCGGCATGGGTTGGCAAAGAATGATTGAACTGTATAGTCAAACTACGTCAATTAAAAAAAAAAGGAGTTTTTCCTGATTGGTAACTATGGTCAAAGTGATTTTGCCATTTCTATCCGGTGCCCACATTAGTTCAGGCATCTACATATGGCAGAAAATAATGTTTAGTACATTTTGTATAATGAAAACATTACTGGATTAGAGAAGACAATAGATCTGGGGTAATGTGTAATTATATGGATTAGTAATCAGTAATGGATATGTAATCAGTAATGGATATGTAATCAGTAATGGGATAATACAAAAGTAAATGTCCTGTAATGGTCTATTACTATATACAGAAAATATCATTCATTTACAATTTGTTAAGCCCCATATTTTAACATTAAAGAAGAAAATTATATAAATTAGACACAATTCCAATCCAATACATTTTATTTAAATAGCATAAATCTTAAATTACAGTGGTATTGGTGATTAATCACACTGCTAAAATTAGAAAGTTATTAATTTTAATGCTTACATTTACATGGTAATTGGAGGAAAAAAAGAATATGATGATATTGTAATTTGTTACATTTGCAATATAATGATGGTAGACTGCAATGAAACCAACAATTGAAGAAAACGTGTGGGCTTTCGGACATTAATTTTGATAACCTTTCTCTTTCTATTTCAGTTCCAGAGTCACACAATCTTCCACATGTTTGTGATAGCAGCAGCTTTTGTTCATTACCATGGCATCTCAGAAATAGCCAACTACAGACTTACATTAGGCGATTGTCTTGAATCAGAGATAGAATAGATATATAATAGATACCTATATTTATTATTATCAATTGTTATTATATCATATTGTTATCTTTTAAATGCCTAAAAAATCCACAAAAGTGAAAGTAAATAATCATATGAATTGTAACTCTTACGTATAACAGGGGGATTTGCGGAGTGAAACATTTGTTATTTCATTTTTTTTCGCTGAATGGTCATGACATACAGTTTGTTTGTTACAGTTAGAGTTTTGAAAATGGCAGCGATGTCATTTGAATTACGGTCAATTTAATTTTGAAATATTTGCATTTATTCAATTTTCAAAGACGCAGTAACATATTTTGAATTGTTTTGTCTTTTTGAATCCATCCCCAAATTTTGTTGAACTGTTTCATTTTTTGTTCGAATTAATTTTGAAAATATCATCAGTTGACCACTGTGTAGAATATGCATCATTATTTTAAAATTAAATCATTATTTATATTTGTATGTATACTGTGTCAGATTAATTAATGTTTTGGAGAAAAAAAGCACAATCTTTATTTTATTTAATAAGCGCTTACTTTTGAATGTTTTGTGGCCTTCAAAAAGGTTATTTGTTAACAACGGTTTACACACAATATGTTCTTGGTTAAGAATTTATCATTTGTTGGACTGATGAATTAGTTTGTAATACAAGGTTAAGAGTCAAACATGAAAATGTGAAATCTGAGTATTGTCACTTGCAACAGATGACCCTGAAGCTAGCTTGGAACCGACGCTGGTTTCATTCTCCTGGGTAAGGCTGTTTGTGATCCATATCAACGTTTGACAAAGTTAATTATGTGTTTAGTACTTTTCCGTCATTATTGACCAGTGCATGGTTTATTGAGAGAAAATTATACCACACCATGTACATTATAAGAGAACTTGATTGAAAATTTAAAAACAAAAAAAACCCAAAAAACTTGTCTTATTATCTGTTTTTAAAATATGACCATAATAGATGATTTGTCTGAATGACTACACATGTATATAATCGTACATTGTCCTGAGTTATTTTGGTAGACATTTTGTTGACCTAAAACAAGCAGGTGAGAAGTTGCCCTTGGTGTTTTTCCGTATGTTTTTTGATTACTTTAGAAATGTTTGTGAAATCAATATGCAGACATTGGACGTGTGGTACACTATGGATTGTTTTAGCTTAGCAACTGCTATTAAATATTTAGATTTTGACTACACGTAATTATGCCATGCTCTTTTTTCTTTTTCTTAATTTAGTTATTTGGATATTTTTTTTTGTCCTGGTTTTTTTTTATGGTAGTTGAATAGTATAACATAGCTGGATTACTGAATTGGTTTTTTTTTGCTTTTTTTAATCAAAGATATGGATTGGCTTCTTGAATGTATTTTTATCACATAGTATTATGTAAAAGGAGCATGGATTGGTTGAAATTCTTAGAAAAAAAGTCTTGTCTGGGCTCTTCATTGGTTTGAAGGTCATTTTAAAGAGAGCATAGTTAATGATAAGCTTTTCCCATTCTTGTGTCCTTTGATTAAAGCTGTTTAATTGGTAAACTGTTAGCTATATGAAAGTCATTTTGATAGTTTTGATGCCATTAACAAGAGTAACATAAAATAAATGAGACTTTTTTTTAAAGTCGAAGAGAGAATCCACACACATACAGAAATAATAGTCAAGTACGTACACAGACTATTGGTGTTGAAATGATACATACACAACATATGCAGAGGTCAGGGCCCTTATTCACGAAAACTTAAACTAAGATACAATCAAAATTTTAAGAAATACTGCAATTCGATTGGCTGACCAGTAAAATCAATTTGCATATATCCAATTTGCATATTGGTCAGCCAATCGAATTGCATTATTTCTTAAAATTTCGATTGTATTTTGGTTTAAGTTTTCGTGAATAAGGGCCCAGAATTATAAATAGTGCTTAAGTTTGTTTGTTTGTTCTTTTAATGTTTCTTAGCAATAAACAGAAGATATATATTGATTTTGTAAATAGTAAATAGTGATATGTAAATAAAGGGAAAATATCCTAAAAGTTCTATATATATATATCTGTATATGGTTGTGTTGATAAATTGTGTTCATATCAGGTCAGATACGGCTTTAAACAAAATCGTTGAATGATTTCATTTTTGTTTTGAAGTTGTGATGAGCAAAATATTACTTGATGACTTATGATTTGATATGCTTGTGTACATAATTGGCAATAAAAAAAAAATTGAGTTTAGAATTAGATTTAATTTACCATATATACGTCAACTTGCCTTTTTTTTTTTTATCTTTAACTGTTTGAAAGTATTGTATTGTATTGTAGAAGTGATACCCGAGGGTAAACTGGAATTTCAGTTTATTTGTTCTTGATAATTATAACAAAACTTGATAGATATGATGTTAATACAGTTACAGCATGTAGAAAGTTGATCTAGGATCTTTCCTATACGATTACATTATTGATTTATCCAATATAGTTTATCTTAATTCGTCTTTTAAATAGACCTTTGAGCATACTGTGGTGATTATATTCTTTGAAATGTAAAACCATTTGTCTATTAGAATTTTTTTTTTCTGTTTCCAATGGTTATTTGAGATTCTAAACACAGTCTTTGAAGACAAATAAGTTTGCTATAAATGACAAAAAGTGTTGGCTTTTGGCATCAAATGTTTCAATTTTTATAACACTTATGCTAGGTGACGGTTTTCAAAACTAAAATAACTTTGTAATTTGATTGTTATCACGTTATTTTTAGCTTTTAATTATAATTCTTGCAAAACTAAGATCTAGTGGTAATGGTTTTAGTAGTACTTTATTTTTATGAAAAGAAAAAAAATTGTTATTACAGATTTATAAGATTTTCCCTTCATCAGGTTTATATAAATTGTTGAAACAGACACAAGATACGGTTTAAGAATATTGAAACCTAAGTTTTCTTAAAGAAATCAAAGCAGAAAAGTGAAAAATTGTTTAATCTTGATTTGTATTATCAGAGTATATGTTCCTAAACCACTTACTAAATATATCATGTTAAATGCATTATGACATCATTATCTCACAAAAGTTGTACTGTTTTAGTAGAATAGTATAGGAGCAAAACAGACAGTATATACTATTTAATTACATATATAAAACAAAGTAATAGTAGCTATCACTGGGTATACAAAGGAGATGTTTTTAAAAACTTAAGTGTAGTTGCTGTCACATTTCTTAAGCATCTCGTTTAGCGTCTATAAATATATAAATAATTTTTACTTACATTAACATGTGATATAGAATAAAAGTTTAATAAAGATATATACATATATATATATATTTGTGTGTAGAAAGCATTGTATAAAGATTTATTAGTTTAAGGTATTAAAATGTCAAATATTTGCTGCTTGAAAAAAATGCAAGAAAAAATTAAAATCAACCTAGGGTGTCTTACTTTAGAGAGTCATTCGATTTATGTTTAGTGTAAAAAATTATTATTAAAAAATGTTAATTTTTTTTAGATCATTTGTTCCATGAGTAGATTGGAGTCAGGTGTTTTTTTGCAGCGTAATGTCTTGGTCTCATCAATGATCCTACTTTTAATGACTAATGCTTGAAAGAAAAACAAGAAAAGTTCAAATCAATCTAGGGCATCTTTATTTTTATTTTAGAGAGTCATTTGATTTATGCTTGGTGCAACATGTAAAAAAAAAATATTAAAAAAGATTTTTTTTTTTTTTTTAATCATTTATTCGATATGAGTTGATTGGAGTCAGGTGTTTTTTGCAGCTTAATGTCTTGGTCTCATCAATGATCCTACTTTTAATGACTTCAATACTCACAATATTATACCATTCCTATGTCCCTCATTATATATATATCCCTTCATGAAGTTTGTATAGATATATTCATAATATGTATAAGCAAGATTCAGTAAATGAATTTCTATATAGATTCATTTGATTTGAAATACACTGTATAGTATAAGTACATTTTGAATATATTAGAGCTGGAGTAGATATGTGTGTATATTTATTTTATCCCATTGTCTAATCTCCTGGTCTTGTCTCTTTTATCCAGATGGCCTGATTAATCAGAAGTACCTAATATTAATCACTATTCTCATGGATCCGTATAATTGATATACGCCAATCAATGACTAAAGCATTTATGGTTATTGGTTATTGACTGGACAGGCGCGAGGAGGGGGGAAATTTCACATAGAACTTCATAACCACACATATCTTTAAACCAACTTATTGGCTCTTATTCATGAGTGTAATTGATCGCTTGATGTAAAGTTGTCTGCTAAATATAACTTGACAAAGAAGAAGTTGTATGTGACAAATATAATAAAATTGTAAGGGAGCTAATTAATCCTGACTGTTTATGTTAGGGTATTATGCACATAGTATTAACTGTAAATATTTTAAATGTTTTGTCACTTGATGCCAAGTGTATCACAAATTGTTGAATGAATTAATTTGATTTTTCAGCTCCCTCACTTCATTAAACCACAGATATTTTGATAAAAACTCTTTAGTTATGGATTCAAATGTGAAAAAAAAAGCTTTGGTGTACATTTTTACTTAGTTCTTATTGCCTTCATGGGAGTAATTAACTTTAGAAGTAGTTTATCGACAGGTATTAGGAGAATTATCATACAAAAAATTGACAATTATGATTGGCATGGCTAGAAAAAAATTAATCTTAAATTGATGAAAAATCTGACTTGTATATCTTAAATACCATCCTGAATACAGTTCAGATCCTAAATTTATAACAAACCACATTTTATTTGACCTTAGAAATTAACACAACAAGGGTTGGACCGAAGTATTTTGATTTGTATGGCCTGAAGACTGATGTTGATAATACATATGTATAAATGTTGAACTTGAATTTTAAAAAAAAAAAGTTATTATTATTATTATATGGTAAAACAGAATAAGTTCTAATTTAACAATAAATTATGTAAAATTCCAAGTGTCTTTATGTTTTATTTAAATAAAAGAAATATGCTATAGACTGTATTGATGTTTCTAAAATTAATGACTGATATTATTTTATACTCCAGGTCAGCAGATTAGTTACAGGTACAGTATTAAAATAGTCATTTGATTATAAAATATGAACTTCAAATTGTACCCTAGTCCAGGGATCTTAATCGGCTGATTATAGCAGGCTTATATTAAATGGAATGGGGGCTTAATTACCCTATTTCCTACCAGGACTTCTTTTGACCCAATTCAGGGGCAGATCCAGAGGGGGTGGGGGATCAGCTACATAAAGAATTTGTAAAACAACACTTTTTATGAGAAAAGTGTCAGGTCGTGTGCTTTAGCCTTTATCATCAGATGGTGGGATATAGGCATATGTGATATCACAATTAATGCTTTGCATTAATGAAATTGAATCACAATGTTATAATAATTCATAAACATACATTATACAAGAGCTAAATCTGCATATTGCAGGTCTTTCTTTAGGCCTGAAATGTTATATAAACTATTAATTAGACATTAACTTATTCAAACCATAATCAACTCTCGATGTCATCTTATGTGTCAGATTTTCACTGGATTTGAATCCGATTTGCTGCTCAATGCTCATTGATGATTAAATCCAAAAATGGATAATCGAGAATGTTTTTTATCGTACTACTTTAGGCTGAAAATTCAAAAGATAATATCTTGGTTCAGAGTGGATCATTTGAGTGAAATTTCATTATATTCTATTTACGTTATCTATTTTTTTAACTATTATAGCGATAACAGTCAACTCTTTATCTAATCTCCCATAATGCCTCTTAATAAAATTGACGCCAAACGGGGGTGTTGGATTTCTCTTAAAAAAGCTCAGTGTGTATGTATATACGCCAAAATGACCACAGAGCCTATGTATTTCTCAAAAATTTTCAAGACCAGTGGGTGGGGGGGCATTATATGTATCTCAGGTACCAGGCAAACCCCTTCCTGCAAAAATTCCTGGATCTGCCCCTGAAAATGGATTAAGAATCCTGCCTAGTCCCTCATTCAGAAATCCTGGATACACCACTACTGAAAAACTTCAAGTCAAGTAGTGGTAACTCTTGTAAGAGTGGTGTAACGAGTGCACTTTAGGTCTGTAAAGTTCTCTGGTTTCGAAGATGATTTCAGACTTGTACAGAACAAGCCGTAAAGTTGCCTGTTCAACATCGTTGGTTTTCTGAGAGTCCTTCAGTTTCTTCCCACAGCTATAAAGACCCAAAGTGCAAGCTACTTTTTGAAATAAAAATTATCCTAAAATGACGGTTTTCTTTTACATGTAGCTTTTACTACTCCTGAGGAGCTATAGTAGCTAAGTGAGTAAGATGCTGGCTAGCTAGCCTGGAGGTTGCGGGTTCGATCCCGGTGTTTGCCGAGAAAGTTGCGCAGGACAGAGGGCCCGATAAGGACATTTGTTTAGTCATTTGGATGGAACAAAAAAACAAGGTCCTGTGTACACATGTGCATGAACGTAAAAGATCCCTCGATAGTTGGAATTTGATATAAGAATAGTCTGTAGCGCCGCTGTCCATGCAAAATTTTCCTCATAACACACTGAATGGCATAATGTGCCAGTCTTCATTATCCCAGTCTGAACAGAATAGTAGGACGTTAAAACCCATTTCATTTCCTTTTACTACTTTACTAGTTGTAAATTGGGTCCACATGAAAAAGAACCTGTGACTGTTGGAAATCGAGATTGATCTTGGTTTTCTGCTCCACACTTGCCTTATCAATCCTAGAGCTTCCAATATTTGACAATGAGAACCAGACTTGAAAACTGGTTGTCCAGTTCCACTGCAACAGTGACAATCATGGAAAGGGAAAGCTTAATATTTACGAAGATTCTGACTCATCTAAATGTACTTTAGAATTCGATCCAAATACAACAAAATAAAACAGACTATAGAAATGAAAAACATTAATAATGTGTATTAAGTGAACAACAAAACAAATATATCTGTAAATATATCAAATGTATAAAAAAAAGATTAAAGAATCGATATAAATATTGTATATGATTATCACTGAGTGTCAATAATTCTTCTAATAATATATTTTAACAGTATTGCCAGGCAACCAAAAATACGCACACCAGCAGCTTTGTCATCCATACTGACAGAAAACTGGCAACTATTACTCCATTGAAAAAAAGTCCAACCGTCTATTCTGAGTATTTACAGAGGGAATACTTGATTGAACTTTTCGGAATTTAATTCTCAAAATCCCAAAAATAGTGCACAGCGCATGTGTCAACTGCATAAGAATCTTATGCAGTAAGAAAATATTTCGACCTACCATATCTGCTGAAACAGGAAACAAATTCAATTACACGCCAAACGATTGCAATTTATGACTTTCCGAACTGACAATCGAGCATCCCCAGAGTATCAAAGTCAAGGGAAATAACTCTTAACAGTAAATATTAAGTCCTGAAGAGCTTTGATGATTGGGGCAATAACTCTCTAAATATACTCTTCAAAAAAAGTAGGGGATATTGAAATGCAAATACCTATGCAGGTTGCGATATGATAAATAGTCATGGACATTTGACATGCTGTGAGAGTATGTTCACAGATGAAGAACTTAACCCCCCTACAGAACCGCTGAGCTGCACATGCGACACGCAATAGCGCCATACACGTGGGAGGGTTTCATTGTCAAATTTGACACTTCAAGGAAGGGGTGATGAAAACTGCTGTGTGCTGGTTTATCTATCCATGTTTGCTTTCCTATCGGTTCTTGCATAAGATATACTGTTAAGCGTATCTTTGCTTTAGTGTGTTACGTTTAATTTGATCGGGAGACGTGTTCATCGACGTCAACGTCAACCGACAACACTGCAAGAATTGGTCGTGATTGGACGGTTGATAAGGAGCATGCCACGACAAATTGCTGGTGGACTGGTGGAGCAATTGCCCATTATTAAGACAAAAATCAAAAACGTCCATTTTCACTTTTGACGGTGTATCGCTTTGCGAGTGAAATGGGGCCGTCAGATAAGCCGCCCATATGAACTGTTTATGTTCATGTGTAGGCAATTGGCCTGTTATGAACATTCATTGGTTACCTCTAATAAAAACAGTAGTGCATTTCCACAGTTTTGTATTGTTTCTGAATATCCCCTACTTTTTTTGAAGAGTATATATTCTGGAAATCTGACTTTTAATATAGTTGTTCCTTAGGAGTAACAAAATTTTCTAACAGATCAAAATTTCTGATCTGTGGTACGTTGTCAGACGGAATGACGACAATATACATGTACCCTTATATTTCATGTATAAAAATGATATGTTACACAAATGATAGTGTTAATAATTGCGTTCTCTCAGTAACTAACAAGAGATATACTACTAATAGTAGCAAGGACTGGTGTGAAAGGAAAATGAAAGAGATGTCACAATTTTGAAAATATGATTTTCTGAAGTTCTTACATAATTTTCTTTTATAGAGAATCTTTGTGTAATCATGTTTCAGTTAGGATAGCCTGAGTAGAAAATGAATAGATCTAAATCTGATAATTAATGAAAAATCTTTAAAAAAACAAACTATAGAAAAGAGATTCAAACTCAACCGTGAGCACGTGCTCCTTGGAGAGATAAGAGATATACCAAAGAAACTAGTATGCCTAGTAGAGAAGGGTGTTTTTTCTTAGCCCAAAGGCCAAAATCTATTAAGATTATATTTGTTCTGCACAGAAAGGGAGGAACAGCTTGTACCCATGTGCCTAGTATTAATCCGATTTGCAAGATTTAATTTTGCTGTCTGGTAGCGCAAACAACAAGTTAATTCTTAAACTCAATAAATAATAAAAGACTAGATCTTGCCACAGACAAAGGACAAGCCATCCAGGAATATATTCTAAAGTTATCAATCCCATAATATTAAATCTGTAATGACTATAATCCCATGAACAAGCATCAAAATATCGTAAAACCAACCCACAAGTGAACTCCCATACATAAATAAATAGGATATAAATAGGTAGTCTATGTTTTATAGTGTAGTCGTGCTTGACACAATAACTATAAATTTGTTCCACGAAGAAACTGCAACTTCCATATATGAAGAAAGAAAAGATGGTGGAGTATCCTTTCAGCATCCAGTTTCCTTCTGGTTTGAGAATAAAGTCGAACAATGCTGTGAAGACAATTTCATCCAACAAGCCATGCATCCCGTAAAAATAGAATCTGGCCCATGATGGCAGAGGATATGACTTTACTTGTGACATTTCACCTGAATAAAATAAAAATATTTGATATATTACACTACATGCAATCCTGGATATACATGTAAGGCACCTGTCAGTCACAAATTATCACACAGCCGCAGGGTATACTATATATATATTATAAGATATAAGTTGTGTATTAAATTGTCCTGCACCACTGAACTTTCTCAGTCAACACTGGGATTGAACCCCAGAAACCCTGGTTAGTGTGCCAGCCCCTTACTCACAAAGCCACTGTGGCCCAAGATAAGATAAGATAAGATGTTTATTGCATCAAAACATCCATGAAGGACAGCATGCATACATATACACTTAGACATACTTGTAGTCATATACATTCAATAATACATATTACATAGACAACTCAATACATTTATACAAACAGTTAGATAACAAACCTTAATCTCTCAACCCTCCGTGTTTCGAGTTAAGAACTGAGGCCATGACCTATAACGTTGCAGCTGCCGGAGCGATTCACACCCGGCATTTTTAAACAAAACTGACAATAGTTTTAATCAAAACAACGATTGATTATTATTATTTATAATATTTCTACAACACCCAACTACAATTAAGCATATAATCCTACCTGAAACGGGTACAAATCGTCGTTTTTAAAATCGAGGCGTTAAGCCGTTACTAAGACCGCCATCTTTTTAAACGATACGCTGTCATCATGAAGGCGGGGCTAAATATAAGGCTTTTATAACAGCCAATCAAAAGGAAAATCGAAAGCACAGTAACTATGAATGGATTTCGATGGCGGTG